GGCCATTATGTTCTGCATAGACACAGAGACAGTCGGACTTTGTATAAAGGGCAAAGATTGGTTCGGAAAAGGGCAAGCGGCACTCCTAGTCCTAGATTCAGCCGTCCCCGGTGACCGGCTGATCACTAACCTAGGTCGTGTCGTGTGCTTCCGTGGTGCCATTTCAAAAAGAAAAAATAAAGAAAAGTTAAAAGAGTGAGAGAACCGACGGTTACCTGAACGAGTGAAATTGACGAAGTTCTGAAAAATTCTGAGCAGCCGGCTTGTCAGAGCAGGCGGTAGGCAGAAAGAGTCCGGGATGTCAGAGCAAGTTCAGGGGTCCGAATTCTCTCTTCAAAAGTTCTCAAGTGTGAAAATGACTGAAGTCAACACACCCTTATATAGGCAAAAATGAGAAGGTGAAGGGTCACTCCCAAATTCAAAATTTGGGCGGGAGAACCTCTCAGCCTTTCACCGAGTGACACTTGTAGCAGGCCGTCGCCTGTTACGGTGTGACACCTGTCACAGGTCACACGTGACCAGTCACGTGCCACCTATGAGGGGCAAATGATTAGGGGATTTTTATCCACCAATCACCATCTGACAAGTGGACCAGTCAGGTACCGCCATGTGTCCGCCACATGGGCCAATAGGAGCCTCCCACGTGTCAACCATATATTTTTCCTCCGTGGACCAATTGCGACATGACACGTGTCCATTCATGCCAAAAGGATAAATCAGCCAACAAGGCCCAATGTTTGGGAAGCCCGGTCAGCCTTAGGTTTAACCTAAACCTAGTATTGGCACGCATCCCAAGGAATATAAATATGCCCATTAATCCTCATTAAGGGGGGAGGGACACACATTTAACACTCTCACCTAGAGAGACTAAATTACATTTCCGCATTAATTACTCTTTAATCAAGTACTAACTTGACCGTTGGAGGCGGATCTCCAATCATCCGGAGCATCCGTTTGTTTTGCAGGTACAGGCGTCCGGTTCCAGTCTCGAAATTGTAACTCTCCCGCAGGACATCAGAAAACCCCGAAACATAACCCATCAACCCTCAACATTACCTGCAATGTCATCCGGAAAAGAAGTTAGTTCACAACCGGCAATTAGAAAAATTGCACAAAAAGTACCCCATCTGGCATCTCGGTAAAATTGCCCTAAAGTACCCCAACCGGTATATTACCTCAGCCAGCAGTGAGGTGATGCGGTCAATGTTGACCTGGTTGATACCCGGTACCACCTTTTTTTCGGACCGGGTGAGGGTCCATTCTCTTGGCATAGCTTTGTATATCCAGCCAACGAGAAGCGGCATCTGCATCATGAGAGATATTTGTTAAGTGTTGGGCATAAGCAGATCCTATATTTAGCCGGCTGCCAGAAGAATCCCCCGAGTGAGAAGCTTGGGACTTGACTCGAACAGGCCCAAGCGGCCAGGGGGGGTCAAAAGTGAAATCTGTACCTTGGTTTTCAGGCTGAGGGGTTAGACCACCCCCAGCCGCATTAGTGTCGGATGTAATAGTAAGCACCAGGCCATAAGGAACCTCAGGCTCCTTAGATCCGGCCTCAGCCGGTCCTGAGCTCAAACCCAGGCTTTGCAGACTTTTGCCTGCGGTTGTGGGCCTATCAGGAGCCGGTGCTCTTCTGGCTGAGGTTGGCGTGGGGCCACTGGGACCCTTCGCCTTTGAGATGGTGGTTGGGCAGGCTCCTCACCTTGCCTTTTCAACATTTGCCTCAAAGACCGAGGAACGTTCTGGCTCCCCGTCTGTAAAAGAAAACAAGTCAAAGCAACCGGTTATTATCAAGGTGGGTTAAAAGACATACAGGCGGTAAAATATCAGCCGGTAGTTACCCCATCACCTTTGGCCGCAAGTTGGGCCTTTTTCTTCTCAAGCTGCTCCTTCCTTATTTCGGCGGCTGACTTAGCCGGCGTTTTTTCTGGATGAGTCATCTCAAGTCCTTTCTCTGTAAAATAGTAAAGAAAGAAAAATGTTAGAGCATTCAAACACCATACAGGCGGCATAATACGTCGGTTAAGCAATAAACCTACGTTTGCTCCAAAAAGTGCTGAGACCACAGGAGAAAAGGAACGCCTCGTCTCTGAACCAGTCCGGATGAGGGACCCAGAACTTGGGGACAATAACTTGTGTCCCATCATCTAGTGGCATTGTGGTCTTCTTAAAAATCCCCGGCTCCATAATTACATCCCAAGACCTAACCGATATCTTGGGGAGGGTGCATTTCCTTCCCAATAAAGCCGGGTTCTTATTGTACCGGCGCAGCCGGTGGTTCACAACCGGAGAAGGAGAAGAGACCATATATAATTTGCTCTTCCAGTTGGTCCATTTTGATGGCTTCTCCAAAGTCATCATATACTCTGGATGCGTGGTCAGTGTGTACCACGCATTCCAGCCGCCTAGGGCACGGCTCAGGTAGTGCATGTGCGCAAACGCCTCCCAGCTAGACGTCACGTCCTGCAACTCGCAGGCGGCAATGTATCCTAAAATGTTCACCCAAGAGTTGGGTGTGAGCTGCTAGACGCCAAGGTCGTAACCTTTTAGAATGGCCTTGATTGTGTTGTGAAGTGGGAACCGGAGGTCGGCTTTGAATGCTGCCTCATAGCTGCCGAATTAGTTGTCGGCGTGATCTAAGTCGTCATCCCAGACGACGGCAGCATCAACCGGAGGCACAATTACCTCCCATCTGGCGCCCACCGGACGCTTCTCCAAAAAAGCCGGGAGGGTTGCATTTAAGGTCACAACATCCCGGGCGCTCATGTTCGCCTTTGTTGGATTATTTGCTGATGGCCAGTTATATGCCTCCTCATCCTCTTGAGGGGCATCCGACGTCATTGTAGACTTAGTTGAGTCGAATTGCTGGACAGTTTCCTCACCGCCTGAGCTCCTGGACTCTTCTAGTATCTCATCTCTAGGCGTGCTAGGTATACCCGGTTGGTCAAAAGGAGCATCCTCAACCGGAGTTCCGGCTGAATCATCTGATTGGTACTCGGGGTCAACATGCATTTTCCTTGTCCGAGCCATTCTGTCCTGTACATGAACAAAGACGGTCGGATTCGTAGAAGAATAAGGGTGGTCCAAACACCCCCAGACGGCATCCCTAGTCCTAGACTGAGCCGTATCCGGTGAACGGTAGACATCTGCCCTAGGCTGTGCCGTGTGTGTGTTGGGAGAGTCCATTATTCTCTAACCTATACAACCGAGAAAAACTCAAAAAGTTGCGAAGGGCAGAGACGGTACCTTGAAGTTGTGAAGAATTTTGTAGAAGACTTGACCGTTATCCCAAAACGTGGCTTAAAGATGCCACAGGCGGAAGAGTCCGGTTGTGTATGTTTTGAAAGCCGGAATACAAAACAAACAGTCTAACGTTTGCAAAGAAAATCACTCAAAGATACCACAGACGGAAGTGTCCGGCTATGGTTGTTTAGAAAGTTATAAGGCAGATGGTCAGGCATTTTGAAAAGAAATTGCCCAAAGATACCCCAGACGGTATCTATAGAAAGCCTTTTTTGAAAATTGTTCAATGATACCCCAGACGGTATCAATAGAATGCTGTTTTTGAATACTGCTTAAAGATACCCCAGACGGTATCTATGGGATGCATTTTTTGAAGATTGCTCAGAAGTACCCCAGACGGCACAAGACCGGCTGAGGGTCTTATGAATGCAAATCAAGAAAGAAATTTCTTAAAGATGCCCGGGCGGTATAAAGACCGGCTGTGGGTCTATAGAAAGCAAATTATGAAGAAGATTACTCGAAAATGCCCCAAACGGAATATTCCCGGCTGTGGGTCAATTGAATGCAATTTTTGAAGACAACTGTTTGAAGATGCCCCAGACGGAATATTTCCGGCTGAGGGTCTATTGAATGCAATTTTGAAGACAATTGTTTGAAGATGCCCCAGGTGGTATATTACCAACTGTGGGTCTATTGAATGAAATTTGTGAAAGAGATTGCTTAAAAGTGCCCCAGACAGTGTAAGACCGGCTGCGATTCTATTAAAATCAAGGAGGAAAATGATTAAGTCAGACGCTACCTTAGAGGATCAAAGAAGTACTCAACCGGTATCCGAATGTGTCTGAAGGGAGAAGCTGGTTGCACGAAAGAGCAGTCGGTGTCAGAGCTTTTCTCTCTCAAGTAAATTTTTGTGAAAATTCGCAAAGTAGCAAATGAGAGGAGGGGGTCTCCAATTTATAGGAGGGGGCAGAAGGCGAACTGTCACCTCCCCCTCCAATTCAAATTCGAATTCAAAAAAAAATGGAGGGAAGGAGACGAACCGTCACCTTCCCAGAATGTGACACATGTCACAGGCGCCACATGGCAAGCCACGTCACACCTGTGAGGGGCAAATGTTTGGGGTAAAAATAAAAACCCCTATGCCACGTGGCCCAATACCACGCTGACACGTGGCAGTCCATGAAAGGCCCAATGGGATCCAATCGGATGCTGACACATGGCATTGTAACCTTAATGGGGGAGCAGATCTTCATCTGCTATAAATAAAGGAAACTCCTCATTTATTGCATATACACAAATAGACACATACAAACACAAAAAAACCGAGAAATATTAATTACGGAATCTCTCTGAATCAGAGAGAAAAACCATTTACTTTCCGCACTTTTCTACATCCGGAGACATACTAACTTGATCGTCGGAGGCGGAACTCCACCCAACCTGAGTTTCGTGGTTTTGCAAGTGCAGACGGTCGGCGCGCATTCCCAGAATTGTAACTCTTTCGAGGGACTCCAAAAACCCCCGAAACATAATTAATCTCAGTTGTTGGATTTAATAAGATTAATGGCTGAGATTTGTTCTCACATAAGGGATATGGTCTCACATATAAGGTGGTTCTCACCGAATCCGGACCTTATATATATTTATATATATATATATATATACAATAGAGATTATGTGAGAACCAAGTCCTATAATAAGAACTAGAAACTCATTTGAGACATTGATTCATTTGATCCAACGGCTGAAATATTGTCCGCTTTTTTGTTAAGTAATGACAGTTTGGTAAATTTGTTAAGTAATCGTCTCTTTTTCCATTATCAGTTTCTCTTCCATCAATTCATTTTCTCTCCCCCCCTACAAACTCTCTCTTCACGCACCCTCAATTTTGCAGATTTCATCTTCTCATCTTCGTGCATCGTTCTAGCAAGTGTATGGGCAAGTAAGTTTATTAGATTGTCATTAGTATTGCTTTCTTAAATTTAATTCGATTTTGAATCCAATTTTTGCGATTTTGATTGCGAAATTAGGGTTTCCCAATTATTTGTTTGAGTATTTTTAGTTTCGATCAAGTTCAAAATTGGGGATTTTGCTATTTTTATTTGATTAATGTGTGTTTTCTCTTTGATTTATAATCAGATCAATATTTTGTGTTGTTTTGGTAGAGGATTTAGGATCTATTGTTATTATTTGTAATAATAATTCGTTTTATTTTAGTATTTTTCGAATTCATACTGTACAAATATAGTTGATTTATTGAAATTTAAATTTTATTGATGGTGATAATATGCAATTGTGCATCAACAAAATTGTGTGAGTGATCAGAATTACGTCATTAATGAAAGAGAAATGCTACGAAATCTATGTTAATTTTGAATCAAGAATGTGTTGAAAATAACCCTAAAAATTAGTGTGATAGTGGTCCTTGATAAGGATTAGTAGGTGTTGTTAAGTTCGTGAGCTATTCCACATTCTAGATTTGTTGCATTATTTAGTAATTTAATTTTTAAGCACCATATAAAAGCTCTAGATATAAGTATGCGATTATTTATCCAACAGACTATTGAGAATTTCGGATATGAAAATAACGTTGATAGGGTATTGGGTTGGTGTTGTTAGTTGATGGATGATAGGATTGGGTATCGCGTTGGTGTTGTAATTTGATGTCGTTACACTCCAAGCAATTTTTAAGTCATTTGTAACAAGATCTGAAAGCTTCCGTTGTGATGTATGCTTTAATAATGATGCTGATTTGCTTAATACTCTGCCTCCCAACGAGTCAGCGTCAAGAACTTTGCATATGTGCTTAGTATCATGTTTAAGAAAAAATGACATGAGAAGCAGCTTTAGTAAATGTATTTTTCTTTAGACATTGAAGAAAGAATTTCTCTCCAAGTACATTATGGAATTCAAGAAATCAGAACTAAAATTGCAAAAAAAAAAGTCTCAAATATACGGAGTACATAATAATTAGTACATTATGGAATTCAAGAATTTCTCTTTAATTGCATATTTCTGTAGCAGCAATGCATTCAAAGAGGGAGTGCAGAAATTGTGAATATTTGCTACTGCAGAACCAATTACTTATGGATCAACTAGAGCATTCACGCGTACAGGTACTTCACTGTCCGCTAAACCAGAAGTCACTTCTAATGCAGCAGCTGAATATGTACTTGCTTCTCCTATGGCATGAAGTTTCCTGCCCAACAATTTCCAACTGTGAACTCGTTAATCTTAACCATCTGCAAGATATCTACCTGCAAGTGAGCAAGAAAAGTTAAGGTGGAACAATTGGAGTATCTCCTTTTGCTTGTATATTGTCAGATTCTCAAGTATGCTGGGCATTCAACAAAAATATGTAATACTGTTTGGTTAAATTTGCTATAGTCTGTTCAGATTTTGCGGATATAATTAATATATGTGTTTTGGTTACAATTTACAAGTGACTAAGCTGCACATTTTGATGCAAGTAGAAGACTCTTTATATACAAGAATTTGATAGATAATATTCAAAGAAACAAATGACACTATTGTCATACATATTCAGATGCTTATGCTGTTATATGACACTATTGTCATACATATTCAGATGCTGCACTGTGTTATGCTGTTATATAACACCATCTGTTATATGACACTATTGTCATACATATTCAGACATGGAAGGGCTTCTATTGATCTGATTTATGAAGATATTCACTTGCTGCAAGTTAATTTTGTTCTCTTATCCTGTATAGGGGGGTAATGGTGTTGCTCACATGGCAGCTAGGCTTAAACCATCTAATGGTTTTGGTTTTGATGGTAATTGTTTACTCTAGAATATATACACTAGCCTATTAGCTCAAGAGGTAGAGCATTGTGCAAATGCGCAAAAGATGTGGGTTCGAATCCCACATAGGTTCATTTGTATTTACTTTAAGAGATATTTTATTTACTTCAACTTATTTTGTATCTACTTTTATTATTTAGAAATTCAAGCTCACTTATCCAAGGATTAAAGGTATGAAAGAAGGTTTTATAATCTTATACTACGTATTTAAGCATTGATAGCAATTGGAGACTGCCAATAAGCATTTCTTCATAGCAATTTCCTAATTTTAGAAGTAGAGAAGGTGAATTTCATTTCTATTTACTTTAATAAATATTTTATTTACTTTAACTTATTTCATTTCTATTCTTCATAGCAATCTCAGAAACTCAATATAAAGAAGATTGAGCAGCAGCTTCGCAAAAAGGGAATAAGCCCGGATGATCCTGTTGCCATGGCGAGTATTCAGAGGGTAGCATCAACATTCTTTAACGCAATTGACAAGAAGGAAGGGAGCCCCTATGTCTTCCGTGAGGCTGAAGAATCTGTGAAACGGCCTCTAAAAAGCTCAGAACACTCTGATCCTGCTGAGGATAGTGATCAAGAAGAGCTTGACAAATTTATAGCGGAGATATAGGATGCTGTTGATAAGGAATGGGCTGAGGAGGAGGCTGCAGAATAGGAAGAGTACGGAAAGATAAGGTACCGGAACAAGGAAGATTATGGTGGAAGATTCAACAAACCAGATCGTTTTGTAGATAATTTCTCTGATGATGGAAATAGAGGTCGAGGTAGAGGTTTGATGGATACGCATCGAAGGCAAAGAATAGAAGACAGTGAAAATGAAGATAGTATTTCTGCACCTATTGAAGAAGATAGCGCAAGCGAAGATGAAAGGCAGGCATATGATTCTAATGAGGATAAACTTAAACGCCGATCATCCAGAGTTGAAAGATGGAATCCAGAAAGATCAAGAGGATCACATGGAAACCAAGGCTTCAAGCAGACCAATAATATGATTTTGAAGTTGCTGATGTTGTCTTTGCTCATTTTATTATTGTCAACTTTATATACACTAGCCTACTAGCTCAAGAGATAGAGAATTGTGCAAATGCACAAAAGATATGGGTTCGAATCCCACGTAGGTTCATTTGTATCTACTTTAAGAGATTTTATTTACTTCAACTTATTTTGTATCTACTTTTATTACTTACAAACTCAAGCTCACTTATCCAAGGATTAAAGGTATGACGGAAGGTTCTATTACTTATACTAGATATTTAAGCATTCATAGCAATTAGAGATTGTCAATAAGCATTTCTTCATAGCAATTTCCTTATTTTAGAAGTAGAGAAGGTGAATTTCATTTCTGTTTACTATAATAAATATTTTATTTACTTTTAACTTATTTTGTATCTACTTTTATTACTAGAAACTCAAGGTCACTTATCTAAAGATTAAAGATATAAACATGTTGGTAAACTAATACCCTGCTTTTTCTTTTTAGCAATGTGCACCCTAGACTGAATAGTTGTGAGTAGATATAATTTACTTTTAAGTAAATACTATTTACTTTAGAGTTAAAATATTATTTAATTTTAAGTAAATACTATCTACTTTTGATTTACTTTTTAGCTATTTTGATATACTTTTGAGATGCTTTGAATTACTTTAGAATGTTTTGTATTTACTTTTTGAGGTAACCTATGTAGGAATTGAACCTACATCTCTATGCATCCGCATAGTGCTCTACCATTTGAGCTAATAGGTTTACTTTAGTCTTTTTTATTCACTTTAAATACTTTTTTATTTACTTTAGACAACTACTATAGGAATCTACGTTTTCCAACTTTATTCATCTTTTGAGTAAATACTATTTACTTTTGAGTTAACATTATTTATTTACTTCTTTTTTACAGGATACTTGATGCTATTTTAATTAACTTTTTATCGCTTTATATTTACTATTAAGCTATTATGATTTACTTTTGAGATACAATTATTTACTTTTGAGATATATTTCTAACTAGCCAATACCTTTTTTTCTTTGTGATATTAGAGAAAGGTGAGACCGTTGGAAGTTGAAATAGAGCTTAGTTTTTGACATGTAACTTATTTACTAATACATATACTTCTATTCTTTTGACATATACTTTTTATTTATTTTGATTTACTTTTGAGGCATTTTAATTAGCTTTAAAGTGTTTTATATTTACTTTTAGAGATAACCTATGTAGGAATTGAACCTACACCTCTATACATCCGTATATTGCTCTACCACTTGAGCTAATAGGTTTACTTTAAAGTCATTTTTATTTGCTTTAGATTAGATTTAGTTCACTTTTAATTAGAGATAACTGATGTAGGAATCACTAGTTTGAACCTTATTCATCTTCTCCATTTTTAAACCTAAACCCCAAAGGCAGCTAGGAGCAAGATAGGGCATTCATTCTCATTTTCACCCAGTCCACTTTTTAAGTCTTTGCCACTTTAGTTACACAAACCATCAATATGACTCCAGCAATAATACAAACTTTTAAATATTTGATGTTGGTTTCTATCTTGATGTGATGATTTCCAGTCACACCTGCTTCTCTCAAGGCTTCTACTAGTGCTCTAATTACAGCCTGCTGTTTGTCAGCACAGTACACTTAATGTTTTTGCTACCCACCCCTCTCGTTCTTGCAAATCCAAGCTATCCCTCCACTCATGCCTCAAATCACTTCTAAAAGCCTGCAAACAAGATAATTTGATGTTTAAATTTGATGCTTCTAAAAGTTGCTTTTAAAAGCCATTTTTAGTTTCAATTGAACAAATAGGCAAAAACAAGTACCAATATACAACTGCAAAGCATGAATTATATATGATAGCAATGCTATATCAAAATTTCTATCAAAATTCTGATATTATCACTTAACCAAACAATGTACACCACAAGCTTCCAATGAGATATGAATCAAGCAAATAGATAGACAGCAATCCGACGACGCAACTCATCATCACAACGTGCAAGAATTCACATCGCCATTGCTATAAAATGAACCACTATTTTTGAAACAGATTCGAATTCCACATTACAATTGATATGATAAACGCCTTAACATCAGGAAAAAAAAAAAAAGCAAATAAAACATAAATTGAACCTCGTCTGAAGAAGAAGAAGAAGATGCAGATTCTTGGAAGTAGCACAGAACAATGCGATCATCAAGCGAGGACATACTGGATGTATGAGCAGATAACGCATATAAATTCGCGAAGCACTGATACACGAATAATGCATCAAATTTAAACATGATAATTCAACAAAATCAGCATAATTAGCAAAACAAGATAAATTGATAATTCGTAGTCGAGCATCTCAAATAAAAATTTGTTTGCAACATGTTTCATAATTCGCACAAATTCATACACAAACTATCAAAATTTGAAAGCGTATTTCGCAAATAAAATCGACAGAAAAATACCGGTCCTACTTTTATAAATCTAGAATTCACGAACTAGATTTATAAACCTAGAAATATAGCTAATGGAACTAAAATTACAATAAAAATATTGATATTAAGCTTTTTATGAATCGATTAATAGTAAATTAATAATCACTCACAACATCAGAATTTATAAATTATAATTCGAATTTTACAATTAAGAACCCTAATTTACCATACTGACAATAAACTATTGATAGCGATATTGAAACTTGGTGATTTTACCTCAGAAGCTGCTTCAATAGAGAAGAGAAAGCTCAAAAGCCGCTTTAATGCAGAAATCAGAGTAGTAGCTTCAATGGAGGAGAGAGATTGATAGGAGGAGAGAGAATCTGGGGTGAGGAGCAAAATACGTGATCCAAAATTCTAAATATTAAAATCATCTGATCCGTACAATTTGTTTTAATCTGATGGTTGAAATTAGTTCCTAATTTCTATTATAGGAGAGCTTCTCATTATAATTTGGTGTATATATATATATATATATATATATATATATATGTCTAAATACTCTCGATTGTATAGCCGAAATACTCTCAAATTAGTTCACTACGGCTCTGTTTGTTTCAAGGGAAAACTCTTTCCTTGAAAATAGTTTTCCTATTTTCTATTGTTTGTTTTGGATCGGCCCATAAAATGGAAAATAGGTCCAGAAAATACTTTTCCATTGAGGCCCAAATATTTTCCCAAAAAAAATCAAGGGATTCCATTTTTCCATCGTTGCTCGCTGCTCTCATTTGAGCTTGCTCCTCCTCAAGCTCACTGCTCATCCTCAAGATCTGCTCTCACAAGGTAATTTCCAATTATTCTGTTTCCTTTCTTTGATTGTTTGCTTCTTTATTGGATTCGACTGGTTTATTGGATTCAACTGGTTTATTTGATTCAAATGCCTAAGGTTAGGTTTGTGATTAATTAGGGTTTGTTAATATTCTTCTCTATTAAAGAACAAGTGAAGTAATAATGAAGAATTCTGGAATTTGGTTGATTTTTTGCTATTGATTTGGGAATTAGGGTTTGCACATAAAATTAATTGTTGGACTTCTGTTTTTGGCTGCTTACAATGTAATGTGATGAAGCTTCTGTGTATGAATGTGACTATTTGATGATCGATATTATTGGTGTTGTTGTTGGATGATTGATTGGTTAGTTTCTAGCAACCAAAGTGTTGTTGGCCAGGGGATTGTATTGTTTGTTGACTAGTCTTTTTATGGTAAATTGATGTATGTTGTTGTGGTTTGTTTACAATAGTTGATAGCTTATGCCTGAATTTTATTGCTACCTATTATTGTGATGAATTGTAGTTGATGTCGTATTGTTGTCGTTTGCATATCTCATGCTGTTTAGTAGAGAATATATGTGGCGCTAGTGTTAGTTTCTTTCAAGTAATATAAAATGAGCATATACGAGTAGTATATTTAGCTTATCGTTATATACTTGTATTCTATTTGGTATATTGGTGCAATAGATACTAATGTAGGTAGAGACAGAGTTTCGCTTGTGCTCCCAATAAATCAAGTGCTACAATTTTCAGTTTACTTTTTGTGAGAGATATGGAGTACTCATAATAATATATCCAAATGTCTGCTTTTGTGAGAGATATGGAGTACTTTTTTTCACTTAAACTGGTCCATCTATTATTTTTTGGATTTTACGTTATGAATTTATCTCCCTCAAAACCCATATATTGAGGTAAGGGTCATGGACAGATACTTAAACTTTAACAAAAAGGGCAAAAACAGTCTGCTATCTGATTTTTGAGTCTTCTGGCAGTATATGTTTGTAGTGCTAGTGAAAATTGATTTATTGGTTCTTTATAATCAAGCTAAAGTGATTAATAGTTTTGAAAAATGAGACTGTGAATACATGGCCTTAGCTTAATGTATCAATATCTAGTATTGTTCTATTGTTCCTCCATCGGCCAGTGTTGTTTTGTATCAATATCTAGCTTAATGAAGGTCTTATGGGGATAATTGTTTTGTTGTTTTGTTAATTGTTGTTGTAAGTGTGTTGTTGCCGTTGAGTTAGATTGATTACTTTGATAATACCATCAATCATCATAATTTTCTTTTTTCAGATTGGTATTAGTTATGGAACCGGAGCGTGGATTGTCTACCCAAAAATCATCTAAGGTATAACTTTGCCCAAAAACCACTATCGAATTAATATACATATAAGTATGCTTAACATTTTTTTTTATGGAATTGATGTAGATGGCTAATGATACTAAAGGCATTGTTATTGGCGTTGTGGCTGCTATTATTGCTTGTTATCTTGCTTTTCTTAACGAGCGTAGATCTAAAACAAGAAGGCTAAGGATAATTAGGCAAACCTATATTAATAGAGATAGTCTAAGGCCGGAGATTATTAATAGTGTTTTTTATTGTGGTAATACTCATTGTTTGGGTCAGATTCGTATAAGGCCTCAAGCATTTTTGAATTTGTGTAATATTCTAGTTGAAAGAGGACTTTTGAAAGAAAATATTCGAATAGGTGTTAAAGAACAAGTAATGATATTTTTATACATTTTAGGGCATAATGTAAGATTTAGGGTAGCAGGGGGAAGATTTTTTCGATCAATTTGGACCATACATCATTACTTTCATGTTGTTCTTAAAGCCATCCTTAAATTGTACCCAGATTTTGTCAAACCACAAGCCTCTCCTCTTCCATCTGAAATTCAAAACAACCCTAGGTTTTTTCCTTGGTTTGAGGATTTCATAGGAGCTATAGATGGGACACATATACGTGCATCTGTCCCAATTGAAATGCAAGGTCGATTTCGTGGTAGAAAGGGTGGGACAACCCAAAATATGCTAGGTGCTGTTGATTTTGATATGAAATTTACATATGTGCTGGCTGGTTGGGAGGGTTCTGCTCATGACTCAAAGGTCTTACAAGATGCGCTCAAAAGGGGATTTAAGGTTCCTAAAGGTACTTTAAGATTATTTTTTTGTCTGGTTTCTTTTATGCATTGGTTATAAGTTAGTAACTATGAAAAATCTCTTTAAATTTGTAGGAAAGTATTACCTTGCTGATGCGGGGTATGGTGACCGTAAAGGATTCATGCCTCCATATAGGCGTACTCGCTACCACTTGAAAGAGTATACCAACAATCCACCCGAGAATGAACGTGAATTATTTAATCTTCGACACTCCTCACTAAGAATGGTTGTGGAGAGGGCATTTAGAGTATTAAAGAAGAGATTTCGTGTCTTGGATGCTGAGCCATTTTGGCCGTATGAAACCCAAGTAGATGTAGTTCTAGCATGTTGTGTGTTACATAACTACCTTAGAGGTGTTGACCCAAATGACCCAATTACAAGAGAAGTTGAAGTAGAGATGACATCACAAGATTTACAACACATGGGCGAAGCACGTACTCAAGGGATACAACGACAAGAAAACCAACAAATTGGAAGGAAGAGAAATGCCATTGCAACGGCGATGTGGACTGTATAAAAGAAGGCTCGAATTTGATGGGCTTAACATATGCATCTTTAGATAATTAGTTCATTAATTATGTATTTTATATTCTATAACACATTTTTCTTATGTTGTCTTTTCATTCTCTCCTTTGTAGGATCAATCATATGCCATGTTTGTTACAGATTCTTCATATTTAAAGTTTATATGTTGTTCTGGTGGAAATGTGGAAATTGCTTGATACCTAATATTATATCTAGAGTTTACTTTTTCAACAGGGCAGGTTTTCCAGATGCGTTTTATAGCATGCACGATTATTATTTTGTTTTTTTTTTTCCAGATTCTAATGCTAAAGTGATTTTTCCAGGTTAAAAACGAAGAGAAAAAGGCCAACTTTCGCTGGTCAAAGGACATGTCAAAGGAGTTACTCAACTTTTTAGCCGAAGAAGTTAAAAAGGGAAACCGGCCTAACAATACTTTTCGAACAAGTTCTTTTGTGGCTGCTGCAAAGATTATCTCTGAGAAGTTTCAAACCAATTGCACCTCAGAACATGTGGAGAATCATATGAAAACTGTGAGGAATGCATGGGTGGCTATATCAACAGTCCGAAACAACTCTGGGTTTGGATGGAACGATAACTTGAAGATGGTGACAGCATCTCCCACAGCATATGCTACTTATGTTAAGGTAGTGTTGTTTTATACACCTTTTCTAAACATGTTTGTGATGGTGGTGTGCTGCTTCTTGCTTGTGTGTGTGTGCTGTGGTGAGTGCAGTGTGTAGTGTAGGTGTTCTGGTGAGTGCAGTGTAGGTGTTCTGGATTAGATGACCCTAATAACGTTTTATTTTTGCAGGAATATCCAAAATATGAAAAGTTTTTGAATAGAAAAATTGATATGTATGAGGAGATGGCTATAGTAGTGGGTAAAGATTTAGCACGGGGGAACTTCTCCAAGACATTTGTCGACATCGATGTTGATGCTTCAATGGAAAGTGGACAACCAAGTATGACTATTGATAGTGTGCCTTCCAAGGCTGAGAGTAAGGCTGATAGTGGTACCTCGTCGGGCTCAAGGCCACATCGAAAGAGGTCTCGAACTGACGAAGGATCGGAAATGGAACACATTTCAGCACAACTTCAAGAAGTGGTTAGTGCTCTCAAAAAATTTTCAAACAATCAACTTGATGTAGAGAAGCTTTATGACGAAATTATGAAGATGGAGGACATTGAAGAAGGGGTGCGTGTTGCTGTTTTTGATCACTTGGTGGAGCGCGAAATGCTTGTAAAAGCATTTTTGACAAAAAGCTTGCCACTACGCAAACTTTGGATCGAAAAGTTTGTCAAAAACTATAAACATTAAAGTTGTTTGCTGCTTCCACTCTAATTTCTGGTAGGCTGCTGGAAGCTGCTTTTCCTGCCCCCTTGCTATTGGCTGCTATATGCTGTTATATGGGTTGTGTTGCCGTGTCTGTTAATGTCTAGTATTCTTTTTAATTTTAAGCCTGTCAACTGCAGCTTCTGAGATAATGCTCAATGTTGAACCTTACTAGTGTACTTATCTATCTGGGTACCCCATCTACCTATGCAGTTATTTGAAATGTTTGTTGTTTAATGCCAAGCTGCATATCTGATGGGTAGCTTTTTGTCCAGTGTACATACTTCCATAGTTGATCCTTTTGAGTACTTATTAATAACTTTTGATCACTTGATTCTTCTGTTCACATTTCTCAAATTAATTATGATACAGGGCATATAAGATTCAAAAGAGAAGGAAATTTGTATTTATATATGAGTTATGTTACTTGGATTGACCTTTGTATTTATAATTTGTATTTGCTAGACTATAGTTGTAAGTTTCTTGTATTTGCTGTTGGCTTTTGATCACTTGTATTTGGGTTGGTGCGTTTCAACTTTTACATAGGCTTTTATCTGGAGTAGTGATTCGAACAAGCCCGAATCATATACTTTTAATTAATAAAAGTTTCAAGATTGTTATTTATTCATGTAACAAATTAATTAGGTTCAATTTATAAAAAAAATAGGTTCACAAACAATATTAAGTAACAAAAGGAAAATTGTTTTAAAAGGAAAATAAATTTCCAAACAAACAAAGGAAAATGGGATTCTTGGAAAATGAATTTCCTTACAAACAAACAAAGGAAAACTAAACCAAATTTGAGTTTTCCTCCAGAAAATGGATTTCATGGAAATTCATTTTCCATTAGATTTGTTTTCCATCAAAACAAACGGAGCCTACATTCTTCCCCTCTTTCCTAAACACTTTAGCCAAATTAATTGCACAAATTCTCCAAAAAGGCGGGTGTACGTAATTTATTGTAAGACGGGTTAAAATTATGTTAAAAGTATTTAAAGTTACCTTTATACTATAAAAGTTATAATTTTTCAAATAATAAATTTTATCTTACAAAAATCTTATAATGTATTAGATTAATCATATTAGCCTTTATAATATGTAATCATGAATCTATAAAAATTACACATTAAAATAAAATTCAAACCAATGACTATTTAAAAGTTACCATTTAAGGGGTTAAAGTACCATAAAATAGTTAAAGTTACTCTCAAACTGACCGTTTTACAATAAAATTAACGTACATCCGTCTTACACAAGACTTATTGAATTAATTGATACGAAATTGCGAGGTTTCAGAACAAGAGAAAGTCCATAAAGAATGGAAAAGAAAATCAAGCAAGGAAAAGCGGTTAGTTTCCTTAAAACAATCAGGTTTTTACATTTTTTTTGGTGAGTAAGCAATATATTAATATGACATAAAAAACTGTACAAAAGCAACGGGGCATACCCCTGAAACTTAGGACCCAACTAGCCCTAAGAGCACCAAGTTACAGCTACAAAAACTACAACTACTTTAAATGCTCATTTTGAGACTATGAAACCATTTGCAATCATTTACAAGCCATTTCTTATCTATTATTAATCTCTGTACCCTCCAAACTATATTAGTTTTAACCTTCTTTGCCACTCCTTCAGGTCATAGCACTACCTGTTGCCAGAAGCTACATTCTTGACATGCCATATGTGATACACTAAGGCAGCCAGAATTGCATATCCTACTTGCCTTTGCTTTCCTGTATGAAACCTCTTGCCCCAAATCTTCCAGGCTCACTGAATTCCTACAATGGGAAGTTCCCAACCATTGCAAATTATATTGTAAGCAAGCTCGGTATAAGGGTAGCTGAAAATTAGTGTCTTTCAGTGTCTCTCTCTCTCATTCCCACACAGCATGCATATCTCCTCACCACACACCCCAAATCTATGCAACTTGGCTCTAGTTCACAATCTTTTTTGTATAGCTATCCAAGTGATGAAAGAATGTTTAGGAACATTGTACTTATTCCACACCCATTTAGTCTAGTGATATCTGATCTGCTCACCTTCTCTCAGCCATTTGTAGCAATTTGCAATCGAATACTTGCCACTTTCCCATTTGTTATTCTCAAATCCAACTTTCAATCTATCCTTGACCTTATACTGCATCTTCCAACCCCAACTAGCATTGGTGGGAGCAGCATAATCCCACCAATTATCTTCTCTGATGTACACAGAGTGTATCCACCTTACCCATAAGGTATCAACCTTGAGAACTATTTGCCAAACATACTTTCCCAGGTAGCTATATTCCAAGCAATGCAGTCTCTAATACCCGGACCCCCACCCCCCCTCTTTCTTTGGTTTACAAACCCAATCCCAGGCCACTGGCCACTGGAGGGGTCTTAGACATAGAGGCCTGACTAGTCCACAAGAAAGCTTTACACAATTGAACAATCCTCAGCATCACAGTCTTAGGTAAAAGCATAACCTGTGCCCACTAGGTATGGAGACTCATAAATATTGCATTTACTAGAATAGCTCTAGCAGCATAAGAAAGATGCTTGCTACACCAACAATGGATTCTTTTGGTAATCTTATCAATAAGAGGGTCATACTCACACACTTTTAACCTTCTAGTATTCAGAGGCACACCCAAATATCGAAATGGAAACACTCCCTCCACAAACCCATGCTTAGCCAGGATAGCATTTTGAACATTCTCAGGCACATTACCAAAATAAACTGTAGTTTTCTCACAATAAGCATACAAGTCCAGAGGCTTTGGAAAAAGTGTACAAGGCCTTCATAGTAAGATCAGTAGATGAGCTATCCCCTCTAATGATTATCATCTGTAAAAACCAGATGATTAAGCTTAAGAGTTGCACACCTCTGATGAGAACTAAACCCTCTCTTCTCACCAACTTTCTTCAAAAGTCTTGTCAGGTATTCCAGAGCTAAAAAAAAAATGTAGAGGTGACATAGGGTCACCCTGCCTAATGCCTTTTTAGCTTGTAAACACTCATACAAGCTCCCATTCAACATGATAGAGAAAGCAGGATTGTGACACAATTAAAAATCCACCCAATGAACCTCTTAGGGAACTTAAGAGTTTCCAAAAGCTCTCTAAGAAACTGTTACCCCACATACTAAATCAAAAACCTTCCTGAGATCAACCTTGATAGTGCACTTTAGGACAAATCTCTTACATTATAATCCTTGAGCATATCTAGGCATACCATGATATTATCAAGGGTAGATCTACCTGAGACAAAAGCACCTTGCACCATGTCCACTAGAGAATGCAGAATCTCTTTCAATCTGCTATAAATCATTCTGGAAATGATCTTGTAAACCACATTGCAACAAGCAATTGGTCTACATTAGGAATCAAATTCAATGTAGTGCAATTAATTTGTCTTAACAGCTTCCCAATAGAGAAAAAGTCAAGAACAACATCACTCACTTCCTCACCTAGCACATTCTATGCTTTTTAAAAAAATCTACTAGAGAAACCATCCGGCCCAGGAGCCTTATTGTCATTAATTCCCTTCAAAGCCTACCACACATCCCCTATGTTAAAAGGTCTACACAACTACTTGCTGACTCTCAGAAAGAACCGGGCCAATTACACTTTGATGAATACCCCCATTTGTGACAGAAGTACCTAGCAAACTCTTATAGAAAGCCACAAAAGCAATAGCCATACTCTCAAGATCTATAAAAGTCACCCCATTTTCAAACGGGACACTATAAGTGGTCTTTTGAATCTTTTTGCTTTTTAAAATAGCAAGAAAGTAAGCAGAATTATAATCACCCTTATCTAGCCAGTTAACATTAGCCTTTTTCTTTAGGAAACGAAGGGAAGCACTATGAAAGGTAGCATATTGCTCCCTAGCCATGATTTCATCACAAATTAACTGCTCATTCTAAGGATCAGCATGTAGATTTTCCTGGATCACCCTAAGCTTACTCTCAGCCTCCAAAGCTCTGACTTCAATATTAGAAAAGTGATCCTTATTTAGAAATTTCAAAGCACCCTTCACTCTCTTTAGCTTCTGGCATACCTTATACATAGTAGTCCCCCCAACCTCACTATCCCAAGCCTGCTTAACCACCTCCAAAAACATGTGACTGTCAGTCCACAAATTAAAAAACCAGAATGGCTTCTTTGTTCCGTGCAAATCCTCTAGAAAATTACACACATGGGCAATGATCTCTCAATCCTTCTGGCAAGAACATAGTTGTAAAACCAATAAAGTTATCAACCCAAGCAGAATTTACCAAGATTCTGTCAATCTTGGTACACACTCTAGAGTTACCTTCTTGTTTATTTGTCCATGTGAAAAACGTACCACCAACCTAAACATTCATCAGTTCACAATAAGTCTAACAACTTCTAAACAACTCCACTTCTCTTAAGGTGACAAGAGCTCCCACTCTGTCTTGTATATTCAGCACCTAATTAAAATCCCCACCAATCACCCAAGCATCAACCATATTTTGCCCTATACATCTCAATGAATCCCACAAAGCACTTTTATCTTTAGTATCATTTAAGCCACAATAGAAAATATAGAAAAATTCTTACTATAAGCCCTATAAGTCACCTCTGTGTGAATCAGTTGACTAGTAACACCCCACAACTTCACTGTAAACACATATGACCTTTAAATTACCCAAATTCTACCCCTTATGCTTTGAATAATTTGCATACACACACCAATCACTTCTAAACATAGGTTAGTCTCTAGAAGTCTAAAGAAGCCAATATTATTCTGTTTTAGAAACCATAGAACATCAACCTGCTTTTCATGCTTGTTTAGACACCTGACATTCCAAAATCCAAACCTATCCATGAGGGTGGTGAGAGCACTCCCCCACCTTCATCACATACACACCCTTACCTTTATCCAAGCTTTAGTGCCTTGATACAATTTTACGTACCTCAATTTCAACATTCTGCACCACCTCATTCACCATTTCCACTACAACTTCTCTCTGTTTAGTGACTTGCACTTGCTCCTTCGCAGACACCTATTTCTGCCTCTAGAAATTTTTCACACCCTTTGCATCACATCATGTGCCTTTCTATAAGCCACTTTATGATTCGAGCATTCATTATCATGATGTCCCATTCCCCTGCACACACAACATACAACAGGCTTCCATAAAAACACTACTTTTTGCATAATCTCCACTCCTATCTCATTAGTAAACCTTACAAACTCAGGCAAATCCATCCCCATCGGCACCTCAACCGTTACTCTAGCATATTCCAGCTTATCATTGCAAGTTGTAGCATTATCTGTTTCAATAGTCTCACCCACTAGCCCAACAATCTTCCTTAGAGCAG